TGTACGACCCGTTATCATCGAGTTACATACAGTTGTTCCTATAGCAACCGTGTGTTTGTTGTTCGCCCGACGCTAGTCTTCTCCGCGTTTGGGTCAAACATTCTCACGCTACATCTGAACTCTCGACCCGCTCAGTCTGCTTAGTCCTGACTGGATGACTGAATCCCAGATTGACCCAGCGGCGTTCGAACGCCTCCGCAATGAGGTGGTTCAGCTAAGGGCTATGGTGGATAGCCAGGCCACCAAACTGGAATCACTATCCGAGGTGGTCATTCAGATGTCTGCCGCCCTCCAACGTGGCCCGCCAACCCCGAGGGAGGAACCTCATATAGCCCTCCCCGATAAATGGAATAGATTAGACGGTAGCCTGAATGGTCTGTTAGCTACGCTCGACATGCTGTTCGAATGCCAGCCGTTCCATTACTCCACTCCTTGCTCCCAAGTTGCTCTCCTCATCTCTCTTCTGTCTGGACGTGCCCAGGACTGGACTGCCGCTATGTACAATCAGAAATCCCCTGCCTGCAACGATTACCGGGCTTTTGTGGCTGAGATCCGGAAGACTTTTGTCCCACCTAACAGTGAAGTGGGGGCTGATGTACAACTCCTCAAGTTGCACCAGGGTTTCCATTCTGTCTGCCACTATGTCTCTCGGTTCCGCACTCTGGCAGTTAAACTGCTGTGGGGAGATGATGCTCTTGAGGCGGTCTTTACGAAAGAACTATCCCCCTATTTAAGGGATGAAATGGTCGGATGCGAGGCTCCCTCGATACTGGACACGACAGTGAACTTAGCCCTACAGATTGACCAGAGGGCGATCGTCTGGCCACAGACCATGTAACGCACCACTAGACTATGGGGGACCCCTTGACCAGCCCATGAGCCAGGGACCGGTCCGCAAAGGCCAACACCGCCCGAGGAGCCCATGCAGCGTGGACGTTTAAATCCTGAAGAGAGGCAGTGTCGTTACCGTGAGGGCTGCTGCGCCTACTGCGGTTCCCTGGACCACCGTCGCCTCCACTGCCCCCTGAAACTGGAAAACGACAACACCAGGTAAACCATAGGAGGGTTTTATCTGGTGCCATGTCACTTCCTCCTAACCAACCCACCCTGATATCAGTCACCCTTCATCTGGACCAAGGACTGGTCTCTTTGCCTGCTCTGTTGGAGACTGGGGCAGCTGAAAGCTTCCTCAACTGCCTACTAGCCTCATGCCTCAACATCCCGACTACTACCCTGAATCAGGTCATACCGGTAACCGCGGTGGGTAGTCACCCAATCCACCCATTTCCCGTTCAACATCAGACCTTCCCTCTCACCATGCAAATCGATGACCACAACAAAACCATTCGCTTTTTACTCATAGACACTCCATCCTCACCACTCATCTTAGGCCGCTACTGGTTTCAAACCCATGACCCACAAATATCCTGGTCCACGGGCCGCCTGCTTGCTTGGGGTCCTTCCTGCGGGGCTCACCGACTCCTGTCATTACCACCACCGCCGAGTTCCACTGACAACGAATTGATCGACTTGTCACGAATCCCCAACCACTACCGTGATCTAGCTCGAGTGTTCCATAAAACACCAGCCTCCACTCTCCCTCCTCACTGGCCTTATGACCTCAAGCTCAAGCTTTAACCTGGAACCGTTTCCCTGAGAGGACATCTTTTCTCACTATCCCTGACGGAGACCCGCGCCATGGACGACTACATCCAGGAGGCCCTTCGGCAAGGATTTATCCATCCCTCCACTTCCCCGGGAGCGGTATGTTTCTTCTTTGTGAGCAAAAAGAATGGGGGGCTACGCCCCTGTATTAACTACTGTGGCCTAAACAAGATCACCGTTCGAGACCGACACCCATTACCCCACATCAACACTGCTCTGGAGGCCACATCTCAAGCTAAGATCCTCACCAAGCTGGACCTCCATAGTGCCTATAATTTAATCTGGGTCAAAGAAGATGAGTGGAAAACGGCCTTCATCACACTCACCGGACATTGGGAGTACCCCATGATGCCGTTTGGTCTTTGCAACAGCCACATTTTATCAATGATGTTCTCCGAGACATGCTCAGTCAGTGGGTGTTTGTGTATTTGGATGACTGCTTAATATATTCCCACACTGAAGCCGAACACAAACAACATGTCCGAGCCGTCCTAACCTGCCTACTCCAAAACCACGTCTTCTGCAAATTAGAAAAGTGCACCTTCCTCCAGACTTCCACCTCTTTCTTGGGCTTTACCATTACCTCTGACGGCCTGGCCATGGACCCTCAGAAAGTCCATGCTGTAGTCCATTGACCCCCAACCAAGATCATTCAAACAACTCCAAAGCTTCCTCGGCTTTTCCAGTTTCTACTGCTGGTTCATTAGGAACTTCAGCTCTGTGATGACTCCTCTCACTTCCCTCACCAAAGCCACAACTCAACCCCAACCCTTCCGTCTCACGCCTGAAGCAGTCAAAGCCTTCCACTCCCTGATTCACCGTTTTAACTCAGCGCCCATCTTGCTCAATCCGGACACTTCCAAACCATTCGTGCTGGAGGTAGACGCCTTCGATGTGGGCGCAGGGGCAGTCCTCTCACAACGTGGCCCCGATAGCAAGCTTCACCCTTGCTCGGAAGTTCACCCTCACGCAACAGAGGTACGGCGTGGGAGACAGAAAACTGCTGGCCAATAAATGGGCCCTTGAGGAGTGGAGACACTGGCTACTAGGAGCCACATACCCTTTTACCATCTGGACCAACCACCAGAACCTCATCCATGTTAAAACTGCCAAGCCAGGTGGGCCCTTTTCTTTGAGCCTTACAACTTTGTCATCGCTTACTGACCCGGCTCCAAGAATATTAAACCTGATGCCTTGTTGCATCAGTCGAAGTTGCTCTTCTATCAGCTTGAATCAGTCAGCCCATTTTCCTCTGACCTCTAGCATCAACAAAGCATTTTCACCCACAGGACTGCCGCATACTGTATGTTTTTCTCTTTTCACACCATTCTTTGTAAACCCTAGAAATGGTTGTGGGTGAAAATCCCAGTAACTGAGCAGATTGTGAAATACTCCGACCGGCCCGTCTGGCACCAACAACCACGCCACACTCAAAATTGCTTAAATCGCCTTTCTTTCCCATTCTGACATTCAGTTTGGAGTTCAGGAGATTGTCTTGACCAGGACCACACCCCTAAATGCATTGAAGCAACTGCCATGTGATTGGTTGATTAGATAATTAAATTAAGGAGAAGTTGAACAGGTGTTCCTAATAATCCTTTAGGTGAGTGTAAGTGATCACAGTAAATTGTCAATAAAATATGAAAGGTACCTAACAAAGTAAAATGTTCCATAAAACTATGAATCATTAATATTGTTGGACCTTTGGGCAGCCAGGAGCAAAATCAAAATAAATACTTATTAATAATCTGAGGTTTTACGAGTTATCGGATTCAACCAGTCTAATGCTTGTCAAGATGCATTCTTATTATGGTAAATGTCCTGGTCTTGAAAAGGAGTGAATGTTTGTGCAATTTGGTTGTGCTTGTGTTAACTTGAGCCCAAGGACGCTTGGGCGCTAATGTTAACCAAAGCTACTGTGTGTAACCAGATCTGATCAGACTGTGTATTAGTCCCAGACAAAGCAAATCGATTATATTGTTTGACGTTCCAGACAACCTCCAATGTCTGAAGCAGCGTTATTCTGTTTCGATTGGACCGAAAGCTGAATGAGCGCACCGGGTTTGAAGCCGCCACGTTTTTCTTGTAGCTAAGCTCACAACCAAATTCTAGCTTTAATATATGGAAGGCTGCCAGGATGCAACCCTAAGATGGGAATATTCCGTGAGCAGGCATCCTGGCATTTGGATGAAAGCCACAGTATCGATGAGCATTCTGTCTGCCAAAGGATTTGGCTAAACCAAATCAAGAGCTACTGACTTAGCATCGCTAACAGTTTAGCATTGAGGAGATAAACTCTGTTGAATTTCTTGATTTAGAATGCCTTTATCTGCATGTCACAGCAGCGGCACACTACGAGTTGTCGCAATTCTTTCTCTTACCTGGTTAAAACTAGGGGTACAACTGTACAGATAACCCACGGTATATAACCGGGTTATCACATCATTAATTAGCATGCTTTGGCAAGTTTAGCACTTGTTTCACAGCAAGTGCTTGGGTGGCTGTGGTGCTTTGGTGAAAAAAAGGTGACAACTTTCCTCACTTTGCCAAGGAGGCGAGACGCACGTTGTTTTTCGGTTGTGCTCTGCTTTCACTGGACAATACTATATCTCTGTTAAATATGTTTATATGCTCAGTTTTATTTGGGAGGACAACTTTATGCCAGAGGGGGACTAGCACCTTTTAAAGTCTGAGAATCCCCCAATGCACTTTACATCACAGTTACCCATGCACACACACACACATTCACACACTGATGGAGATAAGCTACAGTGTAGCCACAGCTTCCCTGGGGCTCAGTGACAGAAGTGAGGCTGCAGTATACATAGTGCCACCAGTCCCTCTGACCACCACCAGCAGGCAAGGCGAGTTAAGTGTCTTGCCCAAGGACACAACAGTAACATACTGAGCAGGGCTCGAACCTGCAACCTTCCAATTACAGGGGTAGGAACTTTTTTTCTTCTTCTTTTAAATAATTTGCACACTCAGAAAATGTTTTGTCTCACTCTCATTTCTTGTTGTTACATGTTTAAACTCTATGTAAAATGTTATGTTTGGCCGTTCTTCAAGTAATTTTCAACTTTTGATTGGGGCTGTAGTTTATTTTTATTATTTTTTTACATTTTGCATGTTCGATTTATTGTGACGTTATTTTACCTTACTTTTGTAATGCTACACTGTTTAGTAGAAAAAAAAAACTTATTATGGCAATGCTTCAGAGGTTACATCTCCAGAGATGACGTCTTTAAAGAAATCTAATAAAGCCTTCCAGTAAGAATCAAAACTTAACTTATTGCTTTTAAATTGAGGTGAAGTAAAGCCACAAGCATTTACTAACTGTCTAATAGGTTAATAGATAAAGTCTTTAATATTGAATTAAAATATTTATGGATAATGAGACTAATGCATCCTATTTAACTCTTAGTGGGTTCGGAGAAATGAACAAATACAGGTATTTGTTTTTTGCCATTTTGTTTACCATATATGTTTTAATTATATGTAGTAATTCTACTATTGTGTATATTATCTGGAAAACACAAAACCTCCATGAGCCCATGTACATTTTTATTGCTGCTTTGTTATTTAACTGTGTTGTTTACGCCACCACTGTTTACCCAAAACTCCTGATAGACTTTGTATCTGAAAAACAGATCATATCATATTCAGCCTGCCTCTTCCAGTTCTTTATGTTTTATTCTGTAGGTGGAACAGAATTCTTACTGTTGGCAGCCATGGCTTTTGACAGATACGTGTCCATTTGTAAACCTCTGCTATATCAAACTATCATGAGGAAAAGTACAGTGAATATTATCCTGATTTTAGTTTGGTTTTTACCTGCCTGTCACATTGCAGCTGAAACTATTTTAAGTGCTGAAACAAAAATATGCAATATAAATATGAAAGGAATATTTTGTAACAATGTTTTTTTCTCCCTTCATTGTGTCAAATCAAGAGCACTTACTGTGTTGGGACTTGTTTCTTTATTAGATCTTGTTTTACTTCCCATGCTTTTCACATTTTTCACATATGCAAAGATATTTCTAGTATTGTTTCAAAATGGTAAAATATTCAGGAGAAAGGCTGCTGAGACCTGCATACCCCACCTTTTAGTTTTAATCAACTTCTCTTATTTAGCAGCTTATGATGTTGCTATAGCTCGAGTGGAGTCAGATGTTTCTAAAATTGCTCATTTTATAATGACTTTGCAAATATTTTTGTACCATCCTCTGTTTAATCCTTTTATCTATGGCCTTAAAATGAAAGATATTTCAAAGCAACTGAAACACTTTTATTTAAACAAAGTGTAAGTGCAATAGTTTGCAATTTTTAAACAAATTTATTTTCAGTGAGAGTTCAAATATAACATCTTTTTTTGTTACCACTGTATTGCAGAGAATATTATTTTGGGCTTTTTTAGGATATTGACATAATTTAAAGAAAAAACACAGGAAAAGGCCTCTACAGACTTTTTTCTTGCTAGAATTATTGAGTCACTTTCCCATAATTATTTTAGAAGTGATAACTGTTAGAGCTGACAAATGTACTAAAATAATTGCATAAAATAATAATCTTACTAATGGGATGGTTTCATTATTTTTCTGTAAATAGCCATTTATTTAGTCTGTCTTCTTAATTACTGAATTAGACATTATGGTAAGCAAAATTAGTGGACACTTATATTTCTGTAGTATTTCATAAAATTAACCGTTTCATACATGATGGTAACTCTAGTGGAAAGCTATTCAAAATGTTTTTGCTTTTAAGCAAAGTTGTAAAGCTGTTGTTACATTTGAGTCTTCTCGTTGGACCCTGGTTAGTCAAGCCAACATATTTCATGTTCAGAACTTCTGTTTCAATACCTATTTATATGTACTGCCACCAATCCAATTATATTAATTCAATTTGATAAAATGCAACAAAGTAAAGGGACAATGCAATGCCAACAGGAGACTAAATGTTTTAATACGTAATAAATTGAATAATCCACAAGCAACGTAACGGAATGAAATGACTGTTTTCCACCAAAAGTCATTTTCCCCCTCTCCTGTGACATAGAACTAGTCTGCATGAGATATGGCTTCAAGGTCTCACGCATTTCCTTCTAAACTACTTCTTTCCAGCTCAAGAGAAGAATGAAGAATGGACTCTCTCCTTTTAATTAATCAAAGAACTCTATTTTAATAAAGCTAATTAAACAAAGTGTTAGTCAATAATAAGATGTGACCGATCTGTGAAATCAAAATATTAATTACTTTATTATAATCCTATAGAATATAATAAGTAATATGACTTCAAATGTTTCCACTAGGACTGATCTCACGTAGCGTTAAAAGACATGACACATTACTTTCACTGATCCAATCAGAATCTGCCAGATCTGATGGAGGCGTGGTTTTGGTGGTGTTTGGTAAAACTTTCATCTTTTCATTCGACCATAAACCAAAACATCTGAAGTATAAAACTATGCCCACGTCATCTTTAACGCCAGTTCAAAGCGTTCTAGAGAAGTTGTTGGAGTGGCCAATCCATAACTTTCCTCTTCAGCCGAAAGAACCGACGACAAGCTGGATAAAATTTGTTGCTGTTGCAACTGCTGCAACGGTTCCTTTCAGAATAAAAGCTGAACCATCACGACCCAGGTTTGGGTCTCGCTAGATGCCAACAAAACTGTTGTGACCCGGAAGTATCTCAAAGACTGGTCTGGTCGGCAACTGCTGCTTTTCCTACCAGCTTCGGTTCCAGAGAGGGTCCAGCTGGACCTCGACATTCCTGATCTAACGGGGACTTCCAAAAGGGTATGGAGGCCGATGGGATGGCATCAAATGTGTTTATGAATCTCCTAATCAAAGCTTAACACGAAGACATCACCTTCAGTTCCCATCAGAACTAATCGTTTCTTCGGATTTCCTGGTTCTGAGCAACATTCCACATCACACCATTCTCCGTCTCATTCACCTTAGTTACACCATACATTTAGTGTTAAAGTTAGTCTAGTTTTAATTTGTTTAGTAATAAATCTTTAAACTTTTAAACTCGACTCTCTCTTTCTTCTGTTGTCTCTGAGTGAATACGAAGCTGTTATCTAATCCCTGCAATAAAAAGTTTCAATCTTCAGGTTAAACAGTACCCACAGATCCATAAGGTTGATTTCATATTTTCTATGGAATCCTATGTCTTATTAAATAACATGTAATTTTACTCATTACAAATCTTCATTTAAAATCAAAACACACTTTAATAACATTATACTAACAAGTGAAACTCAAATGACACCTAGTGCGTACTGTCTTTGGCATAAATTTACCAGGCAGTAAATGTTGGTGAGCAGAAAAAGGCTCTTTATAAAAGGCAAGCTTTATTTATGTAGCACATTTCATACACAGAAGAAATTTAAAGCTTTCCAGATGCAAGAACAACTGAGCTGGTCAATCAGTCAGCAGTGAGTGTGTTAAAACAATTCAGCCTGAAGAAGACCCCCTAGGGAAGACGGCTGAAAAAAATGTGCGTGGAAAAAAATCCTGGCTATGCGTATGTGAACACCCCTACTCAATCTTGGTTGAGTAAAGCCGGTGCTAGTGTGGAATCCCTATTACGCTCTTTAGAAGGAACCAACACACGACTGGTCCCAGAAGCAGGAGCAATAAATTAGTCCATGACCCCCATTATGCCAATGCTGGGATAAGCCGTACTCACAGTAAACATGCAGAAACCCTGTACATCACAGCATTCCACATTCACCAGAGAACAGCGGAACCGGAAATCTTTACAGATGCACCAGTACAAGAGAGAGAGAGAGGGAAAACAGAGAGAGCTGCACCAACAGGAGTGTGTGTTCTAAAGTGAGGCCATCTAGTTTCTTGGAACACATAATCCGCTAACATCAGAAAGTAAACTACACATTAACGCCTACACACCATAGGGATTTGAACTGATGTGGTACCAATTCCCAGTACCTTCAAATCGATACCGGTACTTAACAATACCAATTTTCGATACTTTAGAGTGTTTAAAAAACATTTCTAAATTTGATTTATATAATTTTCCCAAACATACCCATATTTACATAAATATCATGATAAATAGCTTACAACTGTTTGTACTTTATCATCGTGGAGTTGTACAAAATTCTTCAGTATGAAAACAACTGTTTCTAAACAAAAACAAACCCAGCTCTACATACTCCTAATCCTCTTCCACACCCTCTAGAATAACTCTGATGAGGAGACCATGTATAATGAACTACAAATGAAACTAAAGCAAATGTCAATACCATACAACAGTTTTTATTTAATATTGTGGTGTTTCACAAAATAAACCCTTGTACTCCTTTTCCTCTCCTTTCCCCTCTGGACAAACCGTATGATGGTGGGTCCTTGTTAGAGGTGGGAAAAATGATCGATTCTAAGATGCATCGCGATTCAGCCGTGCATGATTCCGCATCGATGCAGCAACGTGACATAATGAGATTCTCTCCCTATGTCTATGTCGGGGGTCGGCAACCGCGGCTCTGGAGCCGCATGCGGCTCTTCCATCCATCTGATGCGGCTCTCTGTGCTTGTAAAATAATGAATGGATATTTAAATAAAATGCTTTATATTTTACTGCATTAATTTTACATCTGTAAACCAATTCTAAATGTAAAGATTGTCTGCGTAAACCTGAACAGTTCCAACCCGGTCTTACTGTGAGACCGGGTAGACGCGTCACGCTTGTCCGTAATCATATGCGTGTTCTGAGCTGACGAGGATGTGAGATTCTGGGATTCTCCTCAGATCCTGGATGTGTCGCCACATTGGAGACAGGAACAAGCGCTATTCAGCCAAAGTTTCATAATCAGGGAGCATTTTCTAAGCGACAAGTCTCGCTTCAGTCGGAGGAATCTGCATGCGCCCTGGTTCTGCGACGTGCTCCAAGCCCCTCTCCACATCTTCAGCTCACTGTGCGCCGTACGTACGCGCTGACAGCGAGATGCGCTGAGCTCCTTGTCCAGCTCAGATGGGAATCAAGTGATTTAGCTACATCTGCGATGTGCGAAACGAATAAAGTGTCAGTTCGTCTGCATGATTCGGGGTCTTTCTATTCTTTCTCTGTCAAAATAAATAGTCAAAAACGGGAACTATCCGGTCAACACAACACAAGCCCTGCTTTTAACTGTTTTGTTTTCTTGTGAAAATTGTTGCAAAGAGATAAAATTAAACTTGATTAACACCAGAGCCAGGCGCACTGCGCCGTTGTCTCCGTCACTGTAAATGAGGGAAAAACAAAATGATCGGATCCTTTTCTGACCTTCCCCACCTACAAAGTTTAATTACAACAATCAAACGTGACAGAGCCTGGATTTGTATTCTGAACAGTCTAAACATGTTTTAAAAAGAAACGTACGACAAAAGTGGCACCTGCTCAGTAAAACCAGGGTGAAAAATATATAAATATTGTAGGCAGAGACAGGCTACAACTTCTGGATCCACTTTATATAAATCGTTTTATTGATTATCTTCTTATGAAAGATAACTTTGACGTACACGAGCGACGACCGGTACCGGCTGCTGTCTGAGGGTAGGCCCCGCCCACAACTCCGCGGCTGCTGCGGTGTTTTCTTTACTGTGGGAAACGGGTAATAATGGCTCTTTGATGGGAACAGGTTGCCGACCCCTGGTCTATGTCTATGCAGGACAATAAAATTTTGAGGTTTTACAATTACTTATGGGGGCAGAGTTGCAATGACATGCGCACTGCGTTTTCCTAGAAGCAATTGGACAAGGATACAGGGCCAACATTACCAGTAATCAAAGATGTACCCGTTACATTTAAATCGGATGTCTGGGCTAATTTCTGTTTTGGGATCCTGGATGTGAAAGAATCACTTAACACAGTATTTGTTTACTATTTTTAAGTTCAGTAATATTCTATCTTAAAGCTGCTCTACCGAAAACATTATTTCTTATATTATTTAAGTAATTATAGGCAGCACACTTTAAACATTATTGCTCACTATAGTGAATAGATGAATGTTCTGTTTTTCAGGGATTTCGAAATCAAAAAGAAATTGAAAACTATTCTTCTGCTTTTATTAAGTAATGAACATTTTTGTGTGAAGAATCGTGATGCATTTCAGATCGAATAGTTAGGCAGATAATCGGAATCGGATCGAATCGTGAGGCATGTAGAGATGCACACCACTAGTCCTTGTAGTTTTATAAACTGCACATTACACTGAAGCAAACATCTTTGCTGTAGACTAAATTTACTGTGTATCATCACTCCTTTTGCCATTCATTTTGTGTCACGGTCACTCCCCCTCAGCGCCCCTCCGCTGCTCAAACCTAAGTCTGGACTCAATCTCCCACAATTCCCTTCTCTTCACTTCCGTTATGTCACCTGCCAACTCTACAAAAGGTGGCTCCATATCCTGGCTAACCATTCAGTCATTGATTCTTCCCGATTACTGAACCGTGTCCAAAGCTACTAGAAATCCTACCAATGCTGCACATACCAGAAAGTGTGCCGATCTGTTCTCTCTCTGGAACAACTGTACGACTTGTTTCCATCGAGTTACATACAGTAGTTCCTATAGCAACCGTGTGTTTGTTGTT